AGAATCCCCTGGGCCTACACGGGCAGCCAAAGAGCTTGCCGCATTACCTAAGGGAAAAGGACTTCTGCAGGGGGACAATGTTTTGACAGGCTCGGACTGACCCAGGGCTAGCTAGAAGGTGGTAATGGCCTATGGTACTGGCCCGAGCTAGTAGTCTCTCTGGACTGAACAGTGTGAGCCAAACTATACTATACTCCAGGGATGTGTAAGTCCAGGGCCTTGTTGGGAGCAGCTCAGGAGACTGACAAAATACAGAATGTCAGATGCCGGCTCATCTGGCAATATCTGTGTCACATGAAATGAGACTATGCCCCCCTGGCCGGCTCTCAGCTTGTGCATTTATGCTACAACTACACTAGCGTATACAAAATGGCAGTGCGTCACGATGACTCATTCCACGCTTGTGTAAGACAGGAAAACAACCTAAATGTTGAATAACAGGGAACGGGTCAAATACGCTTTCATTTCACCCCTACCAGGAAACCCTATATAGCCCAAAACATGACAAGGATGGATTCACATTCTAAATATATGTATGTGTATGTATATATGGGTGTATAACATAAATATGTTACATACACAGACATATGTATTCAGTTACCCCTATCTCCGGGTATTGGTTCCAGAATCCCCATGGATACACAAAGGCTCCTGGATGCTCAAGTCCCTCAGTACAGCCTAGTATTTGTGTGTAACCTATGTGTATACTCCCTGCTTTGGCCCTCTCTAGATTGCCTAGAATAGCTATTAGGGTAGAAAGACAGTATGTACTGGTCTTGCTAGGTTGTTCAGGGGGAGATGACAAGACAAACATTTGTAGTTGTTCCGTGCAGGTACAATTTCTTTTGGTTTTTGAGTATTTTTGATTGCTGGTTGGTTGAATTCACATAGGAGCTAATAATGTCATGATAGAAAGCAGGTTTCCAGTAGCACAAATGAGACTTTACCAGTCACCCAAAAGAGGACATGAAAACTCTTAAAACTGTGTTGTTGGCCGGGCGGTGGTGGTGCACGCCTTTAATCCCAGCACTCGGGAGGCAGAGGCAGGCGGATCTCTGTGAGTTCGAGGCCAGCCTGGTCTACAAGAGCTAGTTCCAGGACAGGAACCAAAAGCTACGGAGAAACCCTGTCTCGAAAAATCAAAAAAAAAAAAAAACTGTGTTGTTGTTGTTGTTTTGTTGTTGTTGTTTTGTTGTTGTTTCAAGACAGGGTTTCTCTGTAGGTTCAGAGCCGGTCCTGGAACTCACTCTGTAGACCAGGTCTCAAACTTACCTGTCTCTGCCTCCTGAGTGCTGGGATTAAAGGCATATGCCACCACTGCCCATCCAATATGAAAGTTCTTACATATATATATATATATTTACTACTGTAGCCAGAAAATCTTGACTAGAAGACATTGAAAGAAGTAGTAAGGTTGATTGCCTCAGAATGGGGTGCACTTACTCTACTGTAGTATGTACATTTATAGTGTTTGAAATTTATACCATGTAAATATATAACCTATTCAAACTAACTGAACACAATTTGGGTTTTAAGCAAACACATTCAAATTGGTTCTAGAAAGTTCCTGGTACTGAGAGCTTAGAAGGGTACGCAGGGAAGGGGTGGGATCGAGAAGCAGAAGCACAACACTCAGGAGGTGCCAACAGATGATCGATTTTGAAGACTGCACAACTCTTAGTCCAGCTGCAGGGACAATAGAGAGCCTGGCGGAAGCTTGAGCAGATGAATGAACCAAGAGTCTCTCCAAGAAATCCCCACTGGTAGCTTAACTGTGACTCGTGGAGTTCTAGTGTGTGTGTGTGTGTGTGTGAGAGAGAGAGAGAGAGAGAGAGATGAGTTCTAAGATATTAGGGTGAAACCTGATAAAGCAAAGCAATAGCAGAGGAGCAACCAGCCGGCCCTCTCTCCATACTTCCCAGATCAAAAAGGACTGGAAATCCTTTTCAAGCTCCTCCCTACTTTTTCCTGTGCCTCTCTATCATATCCTGGGTCCTCCAAAATCTCTATGGTCAATTCTTGTCAACTAGTCACTGGCTCTGCCCTGCTGATCCAAATTTAACTTTATTAACACAGGCTCAGAGTGTCACAGTGTGATCAAATATCCCTAAACGTGTGTGTGTGTGTGTGTGTGTGTGTGTGTGTGTGTGTACTCAGGCTACAGTGCATATATGACAGTCAGAGTCAGAGGGCAATATCATGAAATCAGCTCTCCCACTCCATCGGCTTGTGGGTTCTAAGGATCACACTGAGGTCTCCAGACTTACATGGCAAGCCATCACTCCCAATGAGCCATCTCGATGGCCCAAGCTCACCAGATTCTGAATGCCTTGCAGGACATAAGCCTCAAGTCTCATCAGGGACTTGATGGCCAGTCTCATCAGAGACTGGTTCTTATCTGTCAGGCCATCGAGCTAAGGCTTCTCCTAAAAGCACTGACAATGGAGCAGTATCTAGGGCTCTGTGTGATAACTTGAAGCACTGTGAAGGTGACCCAGCAGGGGTGAGCCAGGACCCTCTGAAAAATTCAGAAACTAATTGAGAACCTTGATGTCTATTAGTGGGATGCAACTTGGCAAAAAAAAAAAAGGGGGTAACAAAGACAGAAAGATTCAGGAGACAGCAGGGGACAGAATGTGGGGAACCGATTCCAGCGGTGGGGTAGAAAGCAACACAGAACCTCCCCAGCAATCTGTGACAGAAGGAACTGTAGTAATGGAGCAGGCTTCAGAAAGAACTGGAGAGGCTGGCTGGTGGGCGCAGCTCTCTAGGAATATGGCCATGGGGAGCTCAGACTCAGCTCTCTGAATCAGGGTGGCCTCATTTGTAAAATCAGTCAGATGTCTACCTTAGAGACCCGTTTCATCACCGTGACATGTTTTATACACTGCAAACTACCCCCCAGGCCGGCCCACAAGAAGTTCTCGGTTATAGACAGCCCTGAATGGTGTACAAACTGTGTGTGGCAGAAAGATCTCTACAGCAGCTTCGCCACTGAGGCAGTGCAACTGGCCTGTACAGAATGAAGCTGCTCTAAAGAGACAGCCTTCGCTTCAGCTACCACACTATTAAAACAATAAACCCCCAAGAAGCTGGAATTCCCCCTAGGAATCTCATGCTGAGAGAAGAGAAAGCCTAAAACCTGAGTCAGCCAGAGGGGAAACTTCTCAAGGAACGAGGTGAGGTTCTCAGCTTGCCAGGCCACCTGGCAGGAGGGGTGGAGCCAAAACAATGGATAGACTAATTTGGATGTTTTGATTGACTTAGGGAGGACAGGTGGTTGAACCTGGCTTGCTGGGGAAGGGTGTGACCCAAAGTCTGGCAGAGGTAGGGCTTTGGAGGAAGTTTCTGGAACTCAAAGGAGAATGTGTGTGATTCCACTAACCTCACTTGTCTGGTGCCCTCTCCTTATCGGGCCAGGACATGGACACACAGGTCTATCACTTTTGCTGGCTGTGGAAAAAGAAGCACAATTCACCGGGACTCGTTGAAGGGCGGCTCATTCGAATTCCAGGTAAACGTTAGTATGTGTAAACCCCACAACGGCCAAAGCCAGACTGACAACTGTTTGGGGTTTTCCACTTCCTCTGTTGTGTGTGTACCACCTCCTAACCACGACTGTGAAGCCAGTCAAGAGCGGCCTCCAAGACACAAGCCAAGGCACCTCATGGGGCTTCCAGGGAAGTCGGCTAGCGCCTGTGTGGCCACTTCTAAATCCAGCGGCACTACATTTTTCATCATCATAGACTACCTCAAGCCACGGGAAAACGCGCTCACAAAGGAAAAGAAGAAAGCCTACAGCCCATCACGAAAGCATGAAGCCCTGGCTATCCCCCATCACACAGTAAACTCCGATAATAGCACCTCTGGTGCTTCGTTAAGAAAATGTAACTCACCTCGGTTTTGTCAATAACAAAAACTTATAAAATTCTTTTCTCCTTGCTGAGAGTTGAAACCGAATGCCTTGTGCATGCCAGACAGGTGTTCTACCATAATGCAACGCCCCCAGTTCAGGAGATTTTACTCTTTCTTCACCAATTAAGACTCTAACATCCAAGGGTGAGCAATTAACGCCTGGGACTAGCCAACTGGGGTTGTTTTAGGTATGGAAGAGAGCTGTTGATGGACAGGCTTGCTCGAGACATTCCTCTGAGCCCAGCAGAGTCCCAACCTACTTGTAAACACAGCGTCTGGGAATATTCCGGAGGCAAAACACGGAGGTGCCATCGCACGTTTCCAAAGGAAATTGCAGCGTCTGGCCTGTTACCACACAAAGCATCCCTGCCTCTGAAACAGCAACGCCCATCTCCTAAGAATATAAGGTATATTAATCCCAATTGGAGCAGAAGACAACTCTGGGAGACTCTGCCCAAAGGTTAAATTACAATCTTTACTAACCTCTGACACATCTGAGAATGTTCTAATAGACCCGCCCCCTCTCACTTCCACTGTCCTTCCTTGCTTGCTTCCAGAGCCTAAAAAGGTCATTCCGGCCAGCTGTCACGTCTCTCATCTCACACTAAACTCACTTACAGTAGAAACAAATGACCAAAATAGGGTGCCACAGCTGCTGACAACAGGTACCTTGGGGAAAACCCCTGCCACGTGTGCGGTCCTTTATTCAAGGGTTCCTGGCCGCGCGCTCGCCTCTCCCAGGCGCGCACGCACCAACACACCGGAGCACTAACACATACAGCTGGGGACCGAGTTTCCTCTCCCGGAACAGCAACCCATCTTCAGATCTCTGCATCTGATCCACCTGGTTCCTATACCTGGAACCCAAGCCTATTCCAGCCTCCGCACCACACACGTGGGGATACGCTTCCAGGTGGTGCCAGGAGCGAAGCGTGGAGGTGGGGAAGGCCACGGACTGGGAATGGAAAAGCTGGGAGTAACATGCATGGGTTTGGAATCCCTGGGGTGTACGCTTCTGCCATTGGAGAGGGTGCGAAGCAAAGACCCGGGCTAATGAAGAGAGGGCTGGAGGAGGGGTCGCTCACCCAGGGTTTTGACAGCGATTTGCCTGGTTAGCGGCGGCGGCAGGTTGATGCACACCAAATCTACATCCTGATGCAGCAGCACCTCATCGATGCGGCTAGTGTAGAAAGGAACACTCATCTCCTTGGCCAGCTCCTCGGCTTCTTCCTGAGTGCGGCCCCACAGTGCCTTCACCGCGAAGCCCTCATCTTTCAGCAGCGGGATGATGACACGGGCCGTGAGGCTGGTGCCGAACACGCCCACCCCGGGAAGCATGGCTGCTCAGGTCCGTCCGGCTCTGCTTCTGCCGGGATCACCCGCGCGCACGCCTCTCCGGCTAGTCCCGCAGTCCCCGGCTCCTGCAGCCGACCTCGCTGAGCTGCGCCAGTCGCCGAGCCCCGGGCAAGGCGCCCGCGTGCGGCGGTGTGACAGCACACCGAACCGCAGACCCTGTAGGCTCCGGGAGCCTCAGTGCTGTGATCGCTGCAGTGTCCGCCACGCAGGTATCGTGTCCTTTCCAGAGACAGCGTCAGGGACTCCGCCGGGACGCACGAGGCCCCGAAGTCCCGTGGAGCCCGGGCTCAGGCAGCGGTCCCGCCGATGCGCCGGCCGTCTCCGTGCGCCCCGCCGAGGCCGCCCCATGGCCGGCTCATCCCCGCAGAATCTCTCCCGGGTCGCGCTCCCGTCTCCTAGCTCCCTCTCTGGGCTACGGATCTCCTTTTTCCGCGGTCCTTGGTGCGGAATGAAATAACCCGGAGGCCGACTAAGAATGCAGTTCGTGGCGTGCCAAGCGCCGATTGCGAGCTGCAGCACCGCAGCGGCGGTCACCACCCGGCGCAAGGCTCCTCATTCTGCTGCCATATTCGCTTGCTCGCAGCGCGCTTTGGGCGGCCTCAGCCCCGCTAGGGCTCGGGCTCCGGGATCCCGCGGGTACTAAGGCGGAGTTGGTTACTTTGACTGTCAGCGGCTGGGGTTCCTGCACCGCCCTTGCGGTAGCGCCGAGCACCATTGGCCTACAAGCGTCGTCCCCGCCCCTGTCTCCGCCGCCCGAGGCTCTCGTTGCGCGCAGCGCCGTGCGGCTGGAACCCGGCTTGACTCCTCCCCAGCCCCGCCAGGCTAGCCTGCTGCCCCCGGGTGGCTTCCCTTTCTCTGTGCTCTCCGCCTCCGCCTCCTCCTTGTTGTGCTCCAAGCTCCGCCCAAGCAAGCAAATAAATATATCAAAGCGGGACTGGCCCTTAATGGGCTAGGACCGGGTCCTTTGGAAAAGACTGGCTGTCGCCGGGACCCCAGGGAAGCCGGAGAACCCCACGAGGTGTGAGCAGCGTGGATCATTGCCTCCTTTCCCGAGTATTTTTATCTACGGGCGCTGCGCGGGGGGAAGCTTTCCGGGCACTTAACCCTATGGTTGTTGGAAACCCATTTCACTGATGAAGAAAATGAGGTCCGGGAAGGTTAAGAGATTTGCTCAAAGTAACAAACACAAACAACAGTCCTGGAATCGGAATGCACACACCAGCGTCTCAGCCCTGAATCCCTAGAGTTTTGACTCCTAAGTGTGCCCAGTCCCATCCCAACCAAGCCAATTCTGGCTGCACAAGCTCCACCAGTTTCCCATGTCATGCTTGTGCCTCATGTGGCACCGGCGACCTCACCCAGAATGGGGTCTTTGCACTGCCTGTGGAGTCTGGTTTCCAGAGACGTAGGTACTCACTGCCACTCCAGCCTCCCGTCCTCTGCTTCGGTTCCCAACCACTTATTTTCTTTACTGAATCTGAGGCCCAGAGGATGCTGGGGACCCTCAGACCGAACTGCATGGTAAATCCTAACAGTGGTGCTGACTGAGTGGTCCTCTTGTCTCCGGCCATATCCTCAGCATTTATCGCACGGCCTAACTAGTCGATACTAGGCGCTCAACTAAATGAATGAATGGATAGTCACCACCTGTCCCTCGGTGCCCACTTAGTGCTGGGAGGGCGGAGTTAGTGCCAAAGGGCAAGGGCACCTGCCTTCTAGCTCAATGTTTCTGGAAAGATCAGGTTACTACTGTCTGTCAAGTTCACCCCTGGCCTTCAGCTCTCAGCTAAAGAGGCACGTGGCCTGCTCCAACAGAAGCGTGGAGAATATGACACTCCATAGCGTTCAAAGCAACTTGTAACAAACGGCAGCGAGGCAGGGCTCGTGGAGAGAGCTGTACGCCGTAAAAAGCTCATGTGTGGCAATGGGAGGAGGCAGAGCTGACCTCAGGACATTAGTAGAAAGGACAAAGTGCTCCAGGACTGGCAACAGCCTGAGCAGGGTTGAGACAAAAGAGCAAACAAGATCTGCTGAAGACTGGCTGAGAAGCGTTAGGGGAAAAGAAAGGAGGGTGTGCCATCAGCCCTGGCGGAGCAAGAACCACGGCAGGAGCACCTACTGGGCCGATGCTGGCATTGGCAGCACACAGTGTTCAACGTCCTGCGTCAGGGGCGGGGAAGCTCACTCACTGTCTGGTGTGTGTGTCTTGAAAGTCAGAGGTGGAAGCTGCTTCTTGGCTCTGCCATTTACTAGCTGTGGAACCAAGGACAAATAACTTTGCTGTGATCCTCTGCAAAGGAAGAACAGGATAGTACCATGTTACCTGACATTCGTAAAGTCCTAAAAAGGATACTCCCTAGGAAAATGCTCTATGTGATATATATGCCCTCTATTTTGATATTCATTTCTATTTATTACGACTGCCCTATTTAAAAGTAACTATTAGCCTGTGTATATAACCTGTATGGATTCTGTTATAATTTTTTGTTGTTTGGGGATTTTTGTTCGTTGGTTGGTTTGGTTTTCTTTCATTTTTTTTTTCATATGTATAGGTGTGGGTTTATACCACTTGAGTGCATATGCCCTCGGAGGTCAGAAGAGGGCATTGGAGCCCCTGGAGCTGGAGGTGAAAGGTAATTGTGGACCACCCTATACGAGTGTCAGGAACAGAACTCAAGTCCTCTGGGAGGACAGCGAGCACTTTTACTTGCTGAGCCATCTTTCCAGTTCCTGGTTTGGTTTTTTCAAGATAGGGTCTCATGTAGTCCAGCCTGGCATCCAATTTACTCTCTAGGGGAGGATGACCTTGAATGAACTTCTGGTCCTCCTGTCTCCATCTTCCATATTACAGCCTTGTGCATATAAACCTTCTCAGTCCCCTGTTACACCAGCAGTTCCTGGTGTCCACAAAGGAGAAAACCGGGTCTTTTGTTGACATCTTTTAAAAGAAGGCTAGGGCTGGCAAGATGGCCTAGTGGCTAAGGGTGTATGCCACTAAGTCTGATGACTTAACTCCAACCCCTGGAACTTCCATTGTAGACGGAGAAAACTGACCTCCATGAGTGTGCTATGGCATGTCTGTGCACACATATACACGCAATAATTAATAAAATTTATTAATTAAAAAAGAGGTATAGTCAGGCCATGGTGGTGCATGCCTTTAATCCCAACACTCAGGAGGGAGAGGCAGACTGTGAGTTTGAGGCCAGGCTGGTCTACAGACTTGTTCCAGGACAGCCAGGGCTATACATAGAAACTGTGTCTCAAAAAAACCAAAACAATAATAATTAATAAATAAAAATTTAAAATGCTGTACAAAACTATCTCTCAAACTTACTGCCTTCAGGAATTTGGCTGGGTTTGTTAGAAAAATATCAGCATAGCTGGGCTTATTTCCTCATAGAAAGAATGGGTATTGGGGGGTCACTAGGGGCCACCTAAGTATACAGCCATTGCTGCCCTATTGCATATAATTCTACCCTAACTGAATGTAGCCTTGGGGCCTTTGGACTGGAGAACATTTAGGTGGGAACCAAAGAGAAGAGGAACCTCTGTCCACACAGTTAGGAGTCACCACCCATGCTGAGCACAGGCTGTCCAATGTGGCTATTTTAAGAATACCCACGCTCCTTCTGGTGACCCCTTGCCTATGGCTCTGCAAGTCAGCCTTATAAACTCATTGGTTCCCACCTTGGTTTGTCACTGGGACAACATCTGGCTACAGACTCTAGCCTAACATGTTGACCTGCTAGCTGCACACCCGGAAGGCAGAGTTTGCTCTTATCTCGGAGCCTTTACACTAGCTGTTCCCCCCCCACACACACACACACACACGGTGGGGGGAGGGGCTTGCTACTTACTCCACTCAGGTATGTGTTTGGATGTCCCCTCCTTAGATCAGCCCTTGCCTGACCACCTCATCTGAAATGATGTCCTTGTCACATTTCATCCTTTATCACTGCTTCCCACCACATCATCTGCTTATCATCCCTTGCCTCACAGATTACAGACTCCCTGAGTTCAGAAGTGCATACGTCACCTTCTAAATGCCCGGTAGCTGCAGACAAAGTGTGGCCTTTGCGAGGTGACAAGGGTTTGATAAAGTCATCAGAAGAGAGTCCCACGATTGGATCCTGGAGACTTCATAAAAGGAGAGAGGCCAGGAGAGACAGACATATGTGTTGTCTGTCTCTTTCCCCAGTGATGCCTGGAACCATTCCGGGAAACTGCTAGAAGGCGGCCAGCGTCCCCAGATGTGGCCCTCACCCTGGGATCAAACCCCTTTTCTTTATATTGACCTGTTACATAGCACTGTGTTATTAGCCGGAGAATACTATAGCTGAGGATATGTAAAATCTTTAGGACTAAGCCAAGCATGTACACAAGAGTGACGTGGGCACTGGAAATGCCAGACCGCCTCTTCCTCGGGTGCTAACATTGGGAGGCTTCTGGTTTAGGACACCAATTGAGACAACATAGGGCTGCAGGGGCTCATGGGGGTGGGAGCGGGTGGGAGTAGGTAAGGCCTTCAAAGTTGAAAACAAAAGACTGCGGACATGTGTGGAAAGAAAAGAGAGCTGGACCTGAGTTCCAGAAGGCACACTGGAGTTAGGAGAGAGAATTTTCTAGACTGGTGGAGGAGCCTGTGGAGTCCAGATAGGACCCAGAATTGCTGAAAGAGTTAAACCACATCTTTGAGCCTCCAGTATGGGTGGCTTGTGAGGGGCCTGAGGCACAGCCCTGACAGGCACCCCTGCAGGCACCCAGGACTGAAGGGAAGAAAGGCCTGGGAGGGGATGGACGTGCGCAGGGAGTGAGAAGTGATTTCTCAGAAGGGGATGTCATCTGGGCGTGCACTTGTGTACTACGGGTTTGGCAGGTCTTGCTTCATCCGCTTCAGTGCCGGATGACTCTGAGTATGCCCTCCACCCAGGCCGTGAATGGACCAAATGTCAAAGAATGGACAACATTAGCGCATGGGCAGCTTTAAAAGCCATCTGTGTGGTAATCTTTACTGGTCTTACGTGAAAGCCTTGCCCTGGATTCCACCCAATACAGCCTGACATTTAGACATTTCCAGACTGCCCACAGGGGCTGGAGAGTTAGCGTTTGTAGAGGACCTGAGTTTGGTGCCCAGTGACCATTTCAGGTGGCTCACAATCACCTATCCCCTCCAGCTCCGGGGGACTCAATGCCCTCTTGTGGACTCAGTGGCTCTGTGCACATGCTCGGGCACATGCAGGCACGCACACAGGCATGCATGTGCATGTGTGTGTTGAATGTCCTCCCCAAGTTCCATTGTGCTTAAGGCTCATTCCCCAGAGTGGCATTGTGGGGAACACTGAAATCTTCAGGAGCTGCGACCTAATGGGAAGTCCTTACATCACTCGGGGAGTGCTCATATAGGGACCTATGGAACCCTGGCCTCTCTCTCCCTCTCTTTTCACTTCGTGGTCACAAGATGACCATTTTTGCTCTGTGGCATCTTCCCCTGCCACTCCACCAGTGGCTGAAGCAATGGATCTAGAGTCTCCAAAACCAAGAGCCTAGCTCAATCTTTTTTTTTCTTGACTCATTACTTCAGGAATCTTAATATAGTAAAAAACAAAACAAAACAAAACACACACACAATTGCCTAAAAAAAAACAAAAGGCTCCACCCCTTTCCCCAGGATTTGGCTCCCAATCTCTGTTCCTTTCATCTGGGTGAAGAGTTTAGCCCCCTTTGAGTGTAATTTAAAATAATATGGGGTTGGGGAGATAGTTGTGCTTCCCATATGAGCATGAGGACCGGAGGTCAGATAAAAACTGGCTGTAATCAGGGCTGTAAC